AAAGGGACTCAAAAAAGGAATAGTGGAAATAGCCGATCTCGTAATAGTTAATAAAGCTGATGGTCAATTGGCGAGTACGGCTAAAGAGGCTGTTACAGAATATAAGAGTGCTTTGAAGTACTTGCAGCCGACTTCTCCTGTGTGGATGCCAAAAGTACGACAATACAATTCTTGATGTTAATAACAACAAATTTTACTATACTCATATTTTATGCTGTTTCTTATTGTCAATTATTTTTTTGCTAGGTGATACCTGTATCGGCAAAGACAAAGATGGGGATTGATGAAGTTTGGAACACCGTCAAAGAGTACTTTTCGGTCAAGATGGTTTGATTAATTAATTTATTGATGATTGAAATAGATGAATACTATTATTTCTAACTAGTCCATTTTTGGATAGAAATCTAGTGAATTTGAAAGCAAACGTGGAATGCAGCGTAAATTGTGGATGTGGCATCAAATTACTTCTGAATTATTAGAAAGGTAAGAAAACTTATTATGTTACTTTGGTCGTTATCCAGATAATTAATCCAAGATTCATCCTTTTCTCCTGCTTAAATAAACAGATTCCAATCTGAATCTTCAATTAGAACTCTCGTACATGAACTAGAACAAAAACTATTTCGCGGTGAGATCACATCTGGAACTGCTGCAGATTTAGTAGTCGATCGGTTTACCAATAAAAAATAGTTTTTTTGTTCTCCCATGACACATGCGTGTGTGTATATAATATTGTATGAATTTAAAATATATATTATATGTAGATAGATTTTTTATTTGATACAAATTTTTTAATTCTGATGCACAATCATGCGCTTTACAATCGATCTCCTTTACAGCGAAGTAATCAAAATCTTTGATATATTTCAAACAATATCTTGGTACTTTATTCAACTGGTTATTACCATCAAATTCATCCAAGATTTTTAATTCACTTTTATTTAAACATATATAGTCAGTGACAAAAAACATAACTTCTTAAATTTATTATAATTCAATAAAAAATTATTAATATTTATTAAAAATCATTTATTAAATAATATTAGTATTATTTTTTTAATTAATTTTTAAAAATGATTAGAAAAATTCTATTATGTTAATTTGCTAATTAAAAATGCTATTCAAAAAAATAATTTTAATCGAAAATTTTCTGGGAAATGTATTAATTAAGAGATCAACAAATGCATAAAGTATGGTTACACTTATATGTTTCTTAGTAGAATATCAAAAAACGAAATTTTCACTCTTATTATAACATTATAAATTAACCTATTTTACTGTTTTAATTTAAATTGAATTTCAAGTTTTTTGCTTTTTGTTCATTTAATTATCATTGTTATAATTGCGATATTTTTTGAAGTATCTTTACTCAAAATAGTCCACTTTTTAAATTTTTGTTAATTAAATTAGTTAAAGATCTACATTTCGCAATGAAATGACTGACTGCTATATTCTAGCTGGTCTGTTGCTGGTTGCTCATCCGTGGTTGGTTACGCGCGTTGATGTTGCACAGTTTGCTTGTTTTGCCGACTAAAATATGGGGATCATGAGAAAAATTAAATTTAGACAAAAGGGGAACGCGCGTGTGTTGAAATGACACAATTCAAAGAAAATTACACTGGAGTTTACAAATGAGGTAAATAAACCATTTTTAAAGTGCAGGCATAATGTTTTAATATCAGAAAATGAATGATGATCGATATTTCTAGAACAAATAGAATTCATCATCACTGTTCTTTTAATTCTCCTTTTCATCACTAACTTGGAGTGCATTCTTTTATCAAACAGTCGATATTTTTATTTCGACAGACCATTCAGTGTAGTGTGATAAATTATAAATTTATCGAATAATGCATAGGCGCGATTATACATATACAGTATTTCCTGTCTTGGTTCGTTTTTCTTATTTTTGCTTTTTTTCTTTCACAAAACTCTTAACACGAAACACGCGTTCGCGACATAGATAAACTCGTGGAAAGAAGTAATTCGAATAACCCCTTTCGCCACCAAAACGTATCGCGGCTCGTATTGGTTCAAAATCTATATAACCTCGGCTTCTGTTATCAAAAAGGTATTGGGACGCAAAAGACGAGAAAAAAGCTTTAAATTCAGCAGTGGATGTAGGGATAGGAATCGATTCTCTAGAATCGATTGATTCTGAGAATCGATTAATTACCACATAGTATCTCTACGAATTCAACTTTCAAAGGATAATTTCAACGAATCAAAATATAACTTCCAACGAAAAGGGAAAAAAATCAACAGGCAATGAAAAATAAAACCAAAGACCAGCTATGTCATCGCCGTCGTCGTCGTTATTGCTGTTGTTGTCGTCATCGTCGTCTCGAGAATCGATTTTTGGTTGAGAATCGATTCTCAAATTGAAAATCGAATTTATTTAAAACGATTAATCAATTAATCGAAATTATTAATCGATTCCTGGATGAATGATATGCTGGAGGATGATGTAAATTCGGTTGCTGTTATGTATATGGAATTGGAGCGAGAAAAAAGCATATATACGAGTGGTATTTGAATTCTTTTAAGAAATTTAATATTAATAATATTAACACAGCATATAATGTATAATGATAATTAATAACTATGTAAGTTTTATCAAAACTGATTACATATCGATAATAAATATCACTATCGCTATTATATATAAAACTTATCGAATCCATCAAATTTAATAAAAATCATCAAAATCTACCAAAATTTGTTAAAATTTATCCAAACTCGTCTAAATTCATCAAAATTAATTCTTTTATATATTGAAATATGATCAAAAAAATCATATTCTTATCATTATTTATTTTTTTATTCACATTAACGTTACGTAGTGATTCAATATAATTATTATTATAAAGCTTATCTATATAGCGCCAATTGTGTATTACATCACTAATTCGTTCTGGCATAGAGTGAATTAAATCAGTACAATAATCGACATCAATTTCTTCCCATACCTGCTGTATCTTCATCCATAGATCCTCTTTACCCCGTAACTAACCCAGGAAGACACCGAATACGACGGTCGACCTCATTCCATAAGCGTTCAATTGGATTAAGATCTGGTGATTGGGGTGGCCAATCTAAAATTGACACACCATTATCGACGAACCACTGTTTCGTACCACCAGCAGTATGCTTGGGATCGTTATCTTGTTGAAAGATAACGTCATTGATAGCGAAACCATGTTGCTCGATAGTATTAATGAGGTATTCTGTAAGAATTAATCGGTATAACTCACCATTCATCATCTCATCAATTTTGCATAAGTTGCCAACACCGCGAGAAGTGAAGCAACCCCCACACCAATACTCCCCCACCACCGAATTTAACTGTAGGCTTAATATGATGGCTGTTTAATGGTTCGCTGAGTCGCTTCCAATAATACTCACGTCCAAAAACCTTGAATTTCGATTCATCGGACCATATTACCTTTGACCAAGCTTCATTGGTCCAATTTTTATACTTTTCAGCGAATTGGAGTCTTCACGCCATTTTTTATATATACGAGACATTGTGGACGCACTAATATTTCGTGCTCTCGCGTAGTGTATCCTTTATTAAGCGAAATAATAATTTCCGCTCTTTCGTTTGGAGTTGTATGGCGTTTTGTTTATTAAAAAAGGGCAATTTTTTTGAAACGAGTCAACACGCATTTCGTGCAAGTCATTTGATTATTCCAAAATTGGTATTAATAATAGCCAATAAAATTTTGACACATAATATCATAATAAATAATTTACTAATCACAATTGATACATTAAGAAGAGCACCATATGAAGTAACTATGGATGGGTTCTTGGAATTAAGAATTTCATTCTGAATAATACTGGCATTGGAATGCGTTCTTTTAACAAAGGCTTGATTTTGGTTAAAGTGAATTGCAGCATCTCTGGAATGAATACAAGAAGTGAGTAAAGATTCCAAATTGTACTGTCTAATTAGTTGACAGATTCTTTCAAAAATAAAGAAATCTTCAATGAGTCTATTAATGATTTTTTTAACATGAAAATCTGTTGAATACTTAAAGACATTTAGTTTCTGTATTATAAAGATAAAGATTTTAAATTAAAAAGTGATAGAAAATAGAAACAAAATAATTTTATCTTCATTTAATAATCAGCTTGCAGGAAATACTTCTTCATTTGTAAAATCTGATGAAGTAATAAAAGTTGACTTATTATTAAATTTGTCAAATCTTTCTACCATCACTTTTCTTTTAATTTCAACAGGTATATGCTTATGAATTAAATAAAGTTTTAACTTGATCTTATTTTTCATGATTAAGTTGAAGATTTTTTCAAGAAATTCATTAAATTCTGATTTTTATTTCAATTCTCTATCTGCTTCTTTAAAGCTTTATAAATTATTATATCTTTTTACGCTGAACTTATTTAAGTTTTTAAAAGCTAATTGATGAATGGGATCAAGTATGATCATTTTGTTAATTTTTTCAATTGAAAAAAATTAGAGAAAATTATTTGAGCTTTTATATATCATCATAAGTGAGATTTATAATTCAGATAATTAACAAATTTAGTTACATAAAATAATACTGGAAAAATATTTTTAGAGAAAATATATATATTTAGTTAGTGAAACAGATTATTAATGCACTTTTCAATTATATAAGCTTTATACAAAATTTGTTAATCTTTACTATTTTTAAATGATAATATAGTATTAATATCAATATATTACTATTACTCTTTTTCTTAGAATATTGAAACTAGAGATAAGGCTTATGTATATCAAAAGTTAATTATACATATTGCACTATATGTATAGTATATAGTAATACAGAATAATTTCGATATAGTAACTATCAAAAGTTTTGCATCACATAAATAAAAAAATAAAAAATGCAATATTTTATATTTCATATATTATTTACATGTGAAATCAAGTATATTTAAAAGATAATGTATTACTTTTGATCAATAATCTATTTAAATGTAAGACTATATAAAATATACAAAATTTCATAATAAATCTTATTTTATATGCTATATAAAAATTATACCTATATATATAATCTTTTATTTTATTTTAAAAAAATAATAATTAAATCAATATAAGTCATATTATTATAAATAAAGATCACAAATCTCCATCCTTCTTGATAAAGAATTTTTCTTCTATAATATTGCATCAAAAGAAAATATCACATAATCTTCTGTTATCCATCTTAAAAAAAACTTGAAATAACTGGTTCCATAAAAAATTTATCAAAATCTGGTCATTCTCAAATTTTAACTAAGTGTGATGAGTGTAATATTATATAATTTATTTCAAGTGATAAATGTTCAAAAGCAATGAAAATTCAAAAAAAATTAAAAAATAATAATAAAATTAATATAAGTAATAATACTATAAGAAGAACTTTATATAGATATTATTTATCTGCAAGAGTTAAATGAAAGAAGTCTTATTTAAGTAAAAAAACATCAAAAATTATATTTAAAATTTGCAAAAGAACATAAAGATTGGCAAATAAAGGATTGAAATAAGATTCTTTGATTAGATGAGTCAAAATTTATATTATTTAGATCAAATGATCATGAATATTATTGGAAATATAAAAATAAATTTCTTAATGACCATCTTGTAAAACTTATAGTTAAATTTGATAATGGTAATATTATGATTTGATATTGTTTTTCTTCTTTTGATATTG